TATGAAATTAGTATTGCCAATTGAATTTGAATGCAGATGAAAATGCCAGTTTTCTTTCTGCTGAGTTATTATCTGTACCTTTAATAGAATTGTGGAAAATATCTAGGAATAGCAATGCTACAATGGGCTATAGCCAGCAAGTTTGCTCATCCAAAACACAAGGACCATAGTCACCATACAGATATAGGCTAGCAAATTTTATGGTGTTCCTCCTTCTTTAAGTCAATTCGTTTCAGACATGACATGTTCTTGTGTGAATCTTTCAATAATCAATAATTTGGAGAATATCATTCTGAATTATATCGTACTCTTTAACATTTATTTTTGGTTTTAATTCATAATGTCATTGCCTGAATGAACCATTAAAACTTTGATATCCACATACTTGACAAGCTTTATTTGGATCGCATGATCATGGCATGAAAAATCTGATTATTGATGGTGACTTAAAAACCATAATTGCAATAAAAAATAGAAGATTTCTCCACCTGCAGAAATGTACAAGAAAGTCATCTTACTGTTGTTGGCCATAGCTTCTAAGGGACTACCATGTCCCACTAATCAAGTTGTGTGGATATTATAAGTATGATAATCTCTCTCCATGCGGGATAAAGCTGTATAAATACGAAGATCTAGAGATTGACAGGAGTTTCTTGCATTGAGTGGTCATTTTGTTTCTTTCTTCTTCTTTTTTTTTTTTTTTTGTGACAAATAGTAATAGCGATTAAAAAATGTCTGTTTTTCCACAGTTTTGATATCAAGAGGATCAAACTTATCACTGATGAGAGGTGTGTGGAAACCATTTTTATAACGATTTGTTATCATAAACTTGTCACGTGACACTTAAATATGGATAAAAAATAATTTAAATAATTCTTGACCAAATTTTTACTCAAAATAGCTATCCAAATTACATATTTTTTTATCATTTGGGTCAAAAGCTATCCTTATTACACAATTTCTATCAAGAGTTACCCAAAATTTGTTTAATAGTTATCAAAATTATTTTTTTTGACTATATTTAGGTATTACGTGACAAATTTATGATAAAAAATTATTAGGAATCTGAACATTGTCTGCTTGAATGACTATTTAATACTTTAGGGACCAAAATAATGCAATTAAAATATTGAGGACCAAAATGAGACAAATTTCATACTTTGAGGACCTCTGATGTAATTAACCCTTCAAAGAATTTTTTATATTCTTATCCGGTATGATTTGTTTAATACTTCTCTTTCTCAAAGTTTTCAAAGAAAGCATGCACAGAGCCTATGCCTTCGAATCGGTTATATCACTCAAAATTAGGGTCGGTAATCAATGAGTCTAAATGAGTTTGAATCTAGTTTGTCGAGTTGGTTTTTTTTGAATGAGTTTAAAAAATTATTTAAATTTAATTCGTTTTTTAAATGAGCCAAATTTGAACAAAACCCGACTACGTACACATAAAAAATCGCACACGTCGAATTTGAGTAGAGCTTGTCGAACTCATTTTTTAAGCGAGTTAAAAAAATGTTCAAGACATGTTTAGAAAGCGATTCAAACTTGAACGTATTTCTTTCTATTTTTTGCATACATGATCAGATTAGATATATATGTAGCCAGAGAGAGAGCATAGCTTGTCCAGTAACCCATTAAATAGGGGTACTATTTCATTTGCCATCTGACCCATTGTCATCCACAATGCAAATTGCATCTTATTTTTGGATTAAACGATAATGAATATAGGGACTAATTTATATGTACTTTAATTAATATAAATTTTTGGGTACGATCAAAGATTGATCATTTATGATTGAACTAAAGATAAATCTCTTCCAACCTGATTCCAAAGAGTTGTCTACGATGTTACCACTTATAAATTGTAAAGGCAAAAAATCTTTTTTAGGTGTAATTTCCACCCTGCAGTCAATTTCTACGTAATGCATGGTGGGCACCTCAACAATCAGATATTATTTGGTCCATTGTGCCATTATTAAGATGCGTACAGGCCACAAAAAGGCCAACGTACCACCCTGCAATCAAGATGAGGCAATGGACCCTACTTTATCTCTGCTTTCTCCACAGGAACAACAGACCAAAAGCAAAAGCTTTCTTCACATAGAAAAACTTACTGTGTGTTTTTCTTCCAGAGGAAGACTATGGTACAATCTTTTGAAATTAAATTAAATTATATTTTTTGAGGTAAAAATTATAATTATAAAAATGATGAAATTAAAGTTACTCTGTTTTTGAGGTTAAAAGTTACATCAAACAGTTGTGAACTTTACTTTTAAAAAGTATAATTTAACCTTAAAAAATAATTGTACCATACCCAAAACAAACATAGTAAATGAAACATGGAATTAGCAACCCAAATGCTGCCAAATAAATTGGTGTTGGTACAAAACTATATGTTGAAAAAATGAATTCAAAAGATAAAGTGAAGGGTAGAATGAGAGGTAGACTTGTCTCTTAAAGACGATTTGTGTCGCTTTATGAAAACAAACACAATATAAAATGTAGTAGTGCGTCGTCCCCAAAAAATACAACAATTCAACCTAATTGACTATTGTTTCACTAAATTCTGCACAATCGAATAAAATAAAAATTTTATACGACAACTTTTTATATTGTTTGCTTCACACGACACCTTTCTATATTACTTAGAAAAATAAAAAAGTTAACTCAATGATTAAATAACACTAGTATATATATATACACACATATATATTCAAATACTTTAAAAAAGTGAGTCGACGTCTCACTACGACTTTGCTATGCATCCTTCATGTACGATCTTGATGAAAATTGCCTAACACATACCTAAGTTTTGCAAGATACGTCACAAAATGTTTAATAAATCTTGAGCAAAATTCATGATGTAAAACAATAAAAGCCTAAATTCTTATCACTACCATGACTTTTGGTAAATTCTAAATTAATAATGGAGTGCACTCAATACTGGGCCTACCCACAATCCAATTACTGTTACAACAATCATTATGTTTTTAAGTTATCTCTCTAACGAGTAACTCCTGTGGGTTAGGAAACTTTGGATGAATTGTCACTCTCTTTAACCCAAGCTCTCTCACAGCTCATAAATATCCCAAATAGGCCCCTCTTGCCCATCAGTCCTCAGTCATTGCACTCTACAGTGGGCCTTTTCTCTGCTTTAATTCACTGGTCAGGTCCACACTCTCTTGCAGAGAAAGAGGACAATGGATGCCTTATCTTCCTCTTTCCTCTCACCATTGTCCCACCTGAAACCTCTTCTCTCTCCTATCACCACCACCAAAACCTCTTTCACTGTTTCCTCCGTCAGAATTGAAGAAAACCCACAATCTACCCCCACCACCACAAAAACTTCTCAACCGACAAAGAACTACAAACCATCAATATACACTTCAAAAAGAGCAGTACCACCAGCTCCACCGCCGGCAAGGAGGCCAGTAGAGCAGTCTCTACCGGCGATCATCTTCAACACATTCGACGACATCATAAACAACTTCATTGACCCACCTGTCCGACCATCGGTAGACCCAAGACATGTACTCTCCGACAACTTTGCCCCTGTCGAAGAGCTCCCTCCGACGGAGTGTGAGGTGATATATGGCTCCCTCCCACAGTGCCTCGACGGCGCGTACATCAGAAACGGCCCAAACCCACAGTTCCTCCCTCGTGGACCCTATCATCTCTTCGACGGCGATGGAATGCTTCACTCTATCAAGATTTCTCAAGGTCGAGCCATTCTCTGTAGTCGCTACGTCAGGACCTACAAGTACGTCGTGGAGAGAGACGTGGGCTCTCCGGTGATCCCTAATGTCTTCTCCGGCTTCAATGGCCTCACCGCCTCGGCGGCGCGTGGTGCAGTGACCGCCGCCAGAGTATTTGCCGGACAATTCAACCCCGGCAACGGCATTGGCCTTGCAAACACCAGCTTGGCTCTCTTTGGTGACAGTCTCTATGCGCTCGGCGAATCCGACCTCCCTTACGCCGTAAAAGTGGCCGAAGACGGTGATATCGTAACCCTAGGTCGCCATGATTTCGATGGCAAGCTTTTCATGAGCATGACAGCACACCCCAAGATCGATTCCGACACCGGAGAGGCATTTGCTTTCCGGTACGGACCTATGCCACCGTTCTTAACCTTTTTCCGATTCAATTCCGACGGGACAAAACAAGCCGACGTCCCAATCTTCTCCATGACACGACCTTCCTTTCTTCATGACTTCGCCATTTCCAAAAAATATGCCATCTTTTCCGACATACAAATAGGGATGAACCCAGTTGACATGATCGTCGGAGGTGGGTCTCCGGTGGGTACAGATCCAGCAAAAGTGCCTAGACTCGGAGTAATCCCAAGATATGCTAAGGATGAATCAGAGATGAGGTGGTTTGACGTGCCGGGGTTCAATTTAATACATGCCACTAACGCATGGGACGAGGATGGTGGCGATGCAGTGGTGATGGTGGCTCCGAACATATTATCGGTGGAGCACACGTTGGAGAGGATGGATTTGATACATGCATCGATGGAGAAGGTGAAGATTGATCTCAAAACCGGGATTGTGACTAGACACCCAGTCTCCACCAGGAATCTAGACTTTGCAGTGATCAATCCGGCTTATGTGGGGAAGAAGAACAAGTACGTCCGGCGACAAATTTCCGATTCAAGGATTAAACTTTCATTAATCATCTCATTTAATATTGTCATCCATACATTAATTCATTAATTTTTCATACAAATCACATGTTTTTTGAGTTATCAAATTTGATTCTTGTTACACTGATCAAAATTTTGGTTTGGCTTTTATCAAAATGATCAAAAAGTTTTGGTTTCAAAGGATAATCTTTTTTCTATTTTCATTCTACTTTTGACCTAATTAAAATTATGAATAAAAAATAAAATTTTTATTTTTGATTAATCTTAGATCATTTAGTCTAAATTTAATATTTTTTATATTAAAGAATTAAATTTTATTGTGTAGCTATCAAAATTATCAAAAATGGTAGCTTCCTATGGATATTAACTGTTTTCAAAATATTTTTGTTTATAAAAATAATTAAAATTTTATACGGAAACAAAATTTGAATCCTCCTTTATGCTTCTAGAATTAAATTATTGTTTTTTAAAATAATGAAATTGTGCAGGTATGTGTATGCGGCGGTTGGGGATCCAATGCCGAAGATATCAGGGGTGGTGAAGCTCGACGTATCAGTATCAGAAGATGACCGCCGTGACTGCATAGTAGCTAGTCGGATGTTCGGACCTGGCTGCTACGGCGGCGAGCCCTTCTTTGTGGCAAAATCGCCGGCGAATTCACAGGCTGATGAGGACGACGGGTACGTAGTAACCTACGTGCATGATGAAAACACAGGAGAGTCGAATTTCTTGGTCATGGACGCCAAGTCACCGGATCTTGAAATTGTCGCCGCCGTGAGGCTGCCCCGCCGTGTGCCGTACGGTTTCCACGGCTTATTCGTGAGGGAAAGCGACCTGAACAAGCTGTGAAAAATGGATAAGTTGCTGAGAAATTTCCATCACACAAGTACAAAGACTGTGTGATGTAGACATCAATTAGGGTTTCCATAAGAAGAAAGGAATTCACGTCAGTTAATTTCCTTCGCCAGAAATGTAATTATTTACCGCCCCAATTGGTTTGATAAACGTACCGTTGTCGATAGATCGTATCGTGTCTAAATTATGGGTGTTTTGGAAAATTCACTTAACCACTGTTGAAACATTTGTAATGGTATATATCTAATTTGGCATTAGGGTAGAATTGGTTGCTAATCTTTATAGTAAACTAGTTTATAATTTAAATATCAAAAGATAAACAAAATAATTTTTGCTATTCATGGTTGAAATCGTTTTAAATTTTATTTTAAAGTTAATCTAACGGCTAATATTAATACCTTAAATTTAATAGGAAAAATAGGTCTTTAAGGATGTGTTTGCAGTGATTTTTTAAAAGTACTTATGTAAATTATTTTTTATAAATACTTTAAAAAAATTAGTGTTTGAAACTGTTCCACCACTATTTCTACCACTACCACTGCCACCGCCACCACCACTGTTCCCACCACCACCGCCACCATCATTGCCTACACCACCCACCAAAATCATCATCGTCTCCTACGACCACCACTGCCGCCCACCACCTCTCATCTTTACTATAAACCGATGCTTAAATTCTTTTATTTCTTCTCTATGTTTGTGATTTAATTTTAGATATGAATATAAATATATTTATTGTTTACTATTTTTTATTACTCTGTGCCTTCAGGCACATGCAATAACTAATAAATTTATATGGTATTTAATCAAGTTTGTGTTGATTTATTTAGTTCAAGAATTTACCAAGTTTTCCTATTTATCACATAAACTTGTTAAAACCAATGATGAAAATCGTGTCAGGTTAAACGGGTTCGTGCTCAAAATCATTTAACTCATACATGACTCATTTATTAAATGGATAAAAATTATAAAAATCGAACGCAATCCATTCATTTAAAAGATAAGAGTTTGATCTGTTTATTGTGTTTTTTTTTGTCTCCAACGCTCTTTCTCTCGAAAAGTTGGAGGCCTCTAATTAATTCTATAGAAGAATATAGAAATGGGTTATTTTCATTATATATATAGGTGAAAAAACATTATATATGCGTTATTGTAAAATCTCACGTTGTGTTCAATATGTTGTTCAAGCTGCGACTATTTTTCTTACCTTTCTTGTGCTGATGGGCTGAGCTGGGAATATAATATAGAGCTTCTAAATTAAAATTGAACAGATTTTATATCTAGGCCTAATTTTTATGTATGTCTAATATTTAAATTAGTAAATGAGTGATAAACAAATTGATATACTTTAACCGAACACGACTCGTGTAATATACGGATTTGGTGGGTCCTCACATTTATCACTCGAGCCCGTTAAAGTCAAACTCAAACTCACTAATTTTGTGTCGATTCACGTCAAGTAATCGGATCATGTTTTATTTTGCCAGATCTAGTTAAAAACTAAATTCATACTCTTTATTTTGTATTGGGTTAGCAAGTTGTGTTTAGAACTTCTACACTTAGTTTAACCTAAGCATTTACTATAAGAGTAATTTTATTATATAAATTTATTGACCTAATCATTTATAAATATTGAATTGACAGTAGGTCTCAATATTTGTTGGGACCCACAACTATTCAATTGTTATTAGGAATTAGGTTCAAATAATATTATTGTTACTATAATTGATTTGGTTAATTCACTATTTTTGTTATCGGATTAATTGTGAAATCAAATATTTAATAAAATCAATCACCCTCTAGCTAACACATTAGATTAAATTGGAAAATTACATCAAATAACAAAGTTTTATTTTTTTGAATTGGATTAAATTACTAAATTTGAGTAACTTTATTGTTGGTTGATTGTTTGGAAAGATTCATAAGATAAGAAGTATACCATCAAGATTTGATTGATCATCAACAAGACGAGTGTCATGGTAAAGTTTAATTTTTTAGTTTTGCGTAGAAGATATAATAAAAATTTTTGATTGACTGACCAAAATATCAAAATGGAAACAAGGGTTACTATCTTGCCTAAAAAGCTAGTGTAATTTATAGTATTCATTGAAGGGTCCTTTCAATGGGTATAAATCATGATAGGTGCCATAACAGTGACTTCATGCCTATATGCTAACCATTTTCTCTATTCACTGGATAAATTTAAAAAAATTGAAGACTGAAAAGATTGGTTAACTTGAAAGAACAGATTGGTTTTAGTCTCCATATGTTGTTTTAGGCAGACATAAGTATTGATGTTCGATTATAACTTTTGTACTCTTGTTAGCTGAGTCTTTCTTAGACACAAAATTTGTCCATGTTCAAAGAGTTCCACTACCTTGAACCTAGTACTTTTACTGTAGTAACTTCCTTGAGCTCTATCCTTCATCAATTTTGGGAGAACGATGACGTAAAAATATCTCCTGTGTTTTGAAATGGTGATAAGTTTACGATTGCAAAATAAAATAGGTCGTAAATTTTAAAACCGTCGTGATAGATCGGAATTTAATAATTATTAAACTCAATTCAACTTCATGAAACTTTGTTTAAAAATTAAGATGTTTGAAAATATAGACCGTCCCCGTTATCAGTTGAGTTATCCTTGAGATTGTAACTAATTATGTGTTCAAGCATCCTTGTGAGTCACAAAAAGTACTAGTTTTATTCTTTGTGAGTGCTGATGTTTGGACATGTATTTTGAAGGAAATCTCAGTATACCCGAACTAAAGTTTTGGTACATCTGAACTGGCTTGGTAAGAGAGGCCACTTCGTAACCAGTCTCAAAAACCAATAAGGGTAGGTTTGATTACCTAAATAAGGCCTTAGTTCTTCATAACCACACATGAGCCAGAACACAGGTGGATAAAGTGAACGAAGGGGAAGTGTATCAGCCAAAACTCTTTCTTCCAATCAACTGCAATTTTTCTTTGAAAGGCATCATCAAATAACCTATCCTGTAGACTTGTCACTGCAATATAAATTTGAATTTAGGAATTGAAGCAAGGGCGAAGACACCATATGCCCAGGGAGGCACATGGCCACCCTCACAATTTTTTTTCGTAAAATTACTTTTATATATTTTAAATATTTATTTTGATTTTTTAAATTGTGCCAACCCTATTTTTTAGTCAAGACTAAAAAATGTATATTATATTCGTGAGTTTACTTGTAATTTTGATATTTATTTTAGTATTTATCATAGATATGATAGAGAACATACATTTGATTTGCGTAATCGAATGAACGATAAATAATTAAGTGACAGCATAATTGTGGATATAAAGAATAATAAAGTTAATACAAAACTTTCAAAGTATGAAAATTTATCGGAGTCAATTCTAAATAGTTTTAATTATGCCTTTGTTTTGTAAAAAGATATAATTATTCTCTCTTTTTTCTTGTCATTTATTTCTAGCATTCTTACGAATTTTAGTCTTTTGAGTTTAATGAATTTTTAATTATTAAATAGGATATAATTTGCACGGGTGAATTCCTGCAATGTGTTGAGATAGCGACCCTCTGGATGATCTTAAATGATGAACCTGAAACAATTGAAATATTAGGAAAGGAGCCAGGTGTGTATCCAACTAATTATTTTCAAAGCTCAAGTCAGTCGGGCATGTAAGTCTTAATGCACAATGTATTCTTCATTCAAGATTGTGTACCTTAGCTTAGATTTTTGAGAAATATTTATATCTGAATTTGTAATGATAACCCTGAGTCTCATCCAAGAGTTTAATGATATGTGTTCACTTTCTAGCATAATGAGTATTATTCTGTCTAGTCTCATTAAGATTAATCTGTTCGGACAAATGAATCCCTTCTCGGGAAACATTGAACATTCATGGTTGGATCTCCGGTTATTAAATTTTTCACATCGGGGCTTAGAACCTATGCCCGAGCTTTCATGAGGAGGAAACTAATACACTCGGGATCCACCGAAGTCTCCATGTCGGCATGGTGGCCATTAATGCCTCCTAATGATTATTGTCTCCACATTCTTCGAAGATCTACACACTTATTAATAGTCTATCAAACCAATTAAAACCTACATTAATGAGCTGTCAGGTCTCTTTTAATGTTGGGTTCCGAGGGGTATACTTGGCCCGTTCATCATATCTTCTCGACTCCTCTTTTTAACGAACTGTATGCGTTCTGCCAACTGTTGGCATTCCCGTGTCGATTTTTCACTGGCGAGTCCCATAATATCCCGACATAATAAAATATAAATACATTATCATATTTTTATCAATTACAAAAAAAAAAATTAAATTTATTAAAACATTCAGCGTCCACCCATAAATATTCAGCTCCGCCCCGAATTGAAGCAGTAACGTGTGAAACCTGTCTTCCGAAGCACAACGAGTATCATTATCCAACTTTAGATATGAAAAAAGAAACAGTGAATCTCTACAGGTAGACAAGTGGCTATGCATGGTCATGGCAAAGGACCACAAAAGCACCTGTTGCTCTCCTTTCATCTAATTCTGACCAAACAAAAACCTTTCTCTAGGGATTAGGTTTTCTTCTAGTTTCACAATAATTGAAAGATTCTCTAATTTTTATTTTTCAGTGATCAAGGTTTACACACATTAGTAGTAGCTTTAGTTCATTTTAATTGTCAAATTTTGTTTGTCATTTTTCAAATCAATTGATTCTGTTGACATATACAGATGTCGACCATTGAAAAAAGAATAGAAAGATCCACCAATTTTTATGAAATTGGAGGAAAAGCCAAATCCAATTTGTAGAGCATGTCCAACATAAATGTTACTGTGATTTAGGAGATTATATTTTCATTTAGTGGTTGGGCTTGGAGATATATATCTCTTTTTCTTCATGGGTGTGCAGCCACTAGCTTGAAAGTTGAAACAATGGCATAGCTATCTATCCCTTCAATGCAATGGTGACTTTTTCAGAATATGTTATCCATATGTTTGCATCATAGAACCTAAACTACATATGTGTATGGCTAAAATTTGGAGTAGAGATTTTAAGTTTGAAAATGGGGGTGGAAACTTGAAACATTCCATTTGAGTGCCCCATATAGACAAAGATGGACACTCTTAGGCTGTAAATGGATCAAATTTCAATTTAATTTAGGTCAATTAAAGATTATGTTGGATTAAAATTTTTTTATTCGAATCAAATCATCCATGGATCTAGTTTATATAGGCCACATTCAAATCTATTGGAAATTAAAAATTCAACCCAAGAATTAGATTTAATCCATATATCATAATTAAGCTGAATTTTAGTAATTATATCTGAATTTTAACTGAATTTAGTGAAATAGTCACTCATTGTTTTCATTATATATTTTTATGAACAT